ACACACACACACACACACACACTTAGATACGCACAAGTTAGCTGATACAGTGTGTCAGGTTGAGGCTCCAGATCAGGAGTAGGCCAGATGATTTGGTCGCACTCCAAGCCTGAACACAAGCCAAGCATGCAGGCCCCAGCCTCAAACTGCCAGGGAAGAGAGGCTATGCAAGAAGTTATAAATGGCTTTTATTATTATGAAATTTGCTTGGACATCTTCAAAAACAAGAAAACTATAACTGTTTCAAATTTAAATCAGGTGCAGATTTACTTTTTGGATATCGATATATCTTCACCGTGGCTGTTAATAAAACTTCTTTCTGTCTTTTTGTAATTTCAGGCTGGTCACACCCACTTCCTGCCTGCCACTCCTCACAACACCGTTTGTTGGAATTGGCGTGAGGTTTCCAACGGAGACATGGGGTAGACGCAAGTCACACATGTCAAGTTGATCAGAGACAGAGCAGAGGCCTGTTCCCGCTACTCTCTCTCTCTCTCACTCTGCGCCTCTCTGTGTCTCCCACTCTTTCCCCTTTGAGTTTATGTCTGCAGGATCCTGTTTCACTGCAGCCCGCATCACAGCCAGACTCTGATGTTGGTGAACCAGATTGATTGTCAACAGAAATGGATGTGAAATCTGGTCTGGCCAAGAAGCTCCTTGCATGTGGCCGTATGTAAGTTTATCTTGTGAGTGTTCTCCGGGTGATGATTGATGAGAACTTTCTTTAAGTTTGAGGAGTACCGAGGGGGTGTCTGTTTTTGAGGTTTCATTTGAAACTGAGCGTCCGATGTGGTCTGCGAGCGCACATCAAAACAAATTCAATAAAGAAGCTCTGTGTCTGTTGGAGACGGCAGCTCTGGCGATCATCGCTAGCTTTCTCTACGGAAGGCCCGACCAAGGTCAGAGTTTATCTGATAACCCCAAAGTAAGGATTTAGGATAGGAATTGACCCCCAGTGACCCTTCACCCCCAGCTCAGACAGGATGTCCTCTCTGCTGTGTCCAGCATTGAACTTAACCCTCATCCTGCTGTGCCACCGCCCCCTCCACTACCAGCAGTGTGTTTTTGGTCCAACAGGGGTTTTAAGCTACGAGTTAGTGAACAGAGGAGTGCTGTTTGACGGCTGTTGGCTGTGTAATGGGATAGGGCCCTTTAACTACTGCACCACTTGACCCAAAGTTCCCACTGTGAAACATCCAGCTGTGCATGTAGATTGCTTGTGACAGATAGGCTGTAAATACGATGTGGAAAGTGGGATAAAATAATGAAGGAAGAGAGTTGATTAAAAGAATGATAAAGAAATGGGTAAAATCAGCGTTTAACTGCACACACATCCGACCACAGCATGTTCCAGGGTTTTATAAAAGGAAGACAGTGGGACGCTTGTGAACACAGCTGGATTCCCGTCGGTAGCATGTCCAGTACCCTCTGTCTTCTGCTGCTGCTCCTGCTTCAGGAGCAGTGTTTACCAGTATTCGGGAGGCAGGAGTATTCACCCTGGCAGTGGGCACATCTGTTCCTGTGGGGGGGGGCTTCAACTTCTGACCTCCTTGCCCCAGTTAACCCCTTGCAATCCTCATTTCCCCCAACTTGCCTATAGCTCCATCCCAGTAACCCTTAGCGCCCCAGACTCTTGCACACTGGTTCAGCTTGCCTGCAGAACTTGTGCAGTGAATTAATATGTGTACTGCATGGAAGCTTCTCAGGGTTTAAGAGACTGACCCTGTACCCAAGGCATCCTTTTAGGCATTATAGACTATGAATATTTATTCTTCGCTGCAGATTATAAAACCAAGTGTGACATGCTCATTGCAAATAATTATTTTTTCCCGGACTTTGTTTATTACAGCTGCTTGGTCTATGTGGTCTGCAACCATCTGTAATAAGATTTGTGGCTGCAAACATTTAGAAATGCCATCGCCGTTATTCATGCAATCCATTAAATTTATATGGTTGCATAATTCAGCCTTTACAAGCTCTGCACCACAATCCACCTATTACTGGAATTTGAGAAGCAAACATTCCTCAGTAGTGAGGAAAAATGAAAACACGAGCAGATACAATAAAAGAAGTTATCTCTGACCATCATGAAATGCCAAATGAGGAGTTGTCCTGGAGTCAGAGGCATAGAGAAAAGATGGGAGGTTGATAAACATGGATAGTCAACCAGAGCGGATTAAAAAAGAAAAAACCCAGGAGGGCTGCGGATATGATTTGGAGACAAAACAACTGACAATGCAAACAAATAGTGGAGACATGCCCTCATATTGTCTGGTATTTTCACATCAAAGAGGAAATAAAAAACAGATAAGCCTCACCAAGTGTGCTGAATAAATTATCTTACTGCTGTTTAATGTTTTTATCAAGATAGCAATTAAGTTGTACTCTTCCTTATTCTTGTAAAATGCCCTTAACTTTATTGAACCCCGGTTCAGAGACAGGTACAAGGCTGAGTAGAAGTAAAATGTTATATAAAATGGTAAGGTAAGAGTAATGGAAATTTGTAGCCTATAAATAGTACTTCAATAAATGTACTTTTTTATTTTTCCTCTACTGCATACAGGTCCTTCTGTTGTACTC